GGCCAAGTATAAGTACAGTGGTTCTCCGTCGTCTGGTCGAGACAGCACGGGCGGTTGAGATAGGCTCTGCTTCAGATGGCGAAGTGCGTGCTCGCATTCCTCGTTCCATTCGAATGCTGCTTCCTTTCGAAGGAGCTTGAAGAAGGGGAAGGCGTGCTGAGCGGACTTCGCGACGAAGCGGGATAGCGACGTCAACATGCCGTTCATGATTTGTATCGACTTCTTTGATGTCGGTGTCAGGAGGTCGGAGAATGCTCGACATTTGTCGGGGTTGGCTTCAATCCCTCGTTCTGTTAGATAGAATCCAAGGAATTTTCCTGCCTTAACCCCGAACGTGCACTTCTCGGGGTTGAACCTCATTTTGCACTGTCTTGCTTGGGCGAAGACTGTCATGAGATGAGCTGCGTGATCGGTGTCTGCTCGGGACTTGACGATCATGTCGTCCATATATACCTCGAGCATGTCGCCAATCTGTTTGTTGAACACTTTGTTCATCATGCGTTGGTAAGTTGCACCGGCGTTCTTCAGTCCGAAGGGCATTACGTTGTAGTAATAGTTGCCCGAGCTGGTCATGAACGCCGTGCAGCGTTTGTCGCCCAGAGCCATTGGGATTTGATTATATCCCGAGTAGGCGTCCATGAATGACAAAGTCTTGTAGCCGGCCGAATTGTCGACCAGCATGTCTATGTTAGGTAGAGGAAAAGCATCCTTCGGGCAAGCCCGGTTGAGGTCGGTATAGTCAACACACATTCTCCATTTTCCATTATTCTTTTTAACAAGTACAACATTTGACAGCCAGGTGGAGTACCGGGCTTCAGAAATAAAATTTGCCTCTAGGAGGTCTTTTACAGCTTTTTCAGCAGCCTCCGTTTTTTCTGGAGACTGCCTACGCCTACGTTGTACTACGGCCTTGGCGGCTGGATCAATGGCGAGGTGATGACAGGCGACCTCAGGGTCGAGTCCGGGCATCTCTGCAGCGCTCCAGGCGAAGAGATCAGCATTCTCGCGCAGACATGCCTTGATTTGCTTCCTGGCCAAGTCGGGGAGGTCTTTGCCAATCTTCACTCCCTTGGTCGGGTCTGCTCCGAGGGGAACGAGTTCAAAATCACCGTCCGGATAGGTCGGAGTGGGATTTGCTCGCTGCTGGATGGCTCGTCTTGGTCGAAGCGAGCGTCGAGGGCTATGGAGTCGACCTTTGGTGGAGCCTTCTGGACTTCTTCCTCGGGGGATGCTCTGTCGGGCTCCTGCTTTGTCCTCTTGGTGGGTCGAGTCCCCACGTCGGCGGTATCCCGTCCCTTTGCAGCGGCGTTGAAGCACCTGCGGGCAGCGGCGAGGTCTCCCTGGATGGTGGCTACCCTTGCCCTTTTGGTATAGAACTTCATTTTTAGATGGACAGTTGAGGGCACCGCTGTCAGCTCCGCCAATGTCGGCCTCCCCAAGATGCAATTGTATAGGGACGGGAAATCAATGACGAGGAAGCGGACCTTCACCTGTCTTGTAGCCGTTCCTTCTCCGAACGTCACCAGGAGCTCGACATAACCCCAAGGTTTGGAAGTCGAGCCGTTGAAGCCTTGAAGATCTGAACCCACATACGGAGACAGATGTGAGTCGTCTAGTTGCAAGGTCCGGAACAGCTGGCTGTACATCACGTCGACGGAACTCCCTTCGTCGACCAGGATGCGATGTACGTCAAAATTGGCCATCTTTGCCCTTATTAGCAAGGGGATGACTGCGTTCGGGGCTCCGCCGGGGAGCTCTTCTAGGTAGAAGGTGATGGGCTCTGATCTGCCCTTCACCCTTTCGAACGTCACAGTTTGTGGAGGAGCTGTGTCGACCAGTTCGTCCAACTTCCTCTTGGCTGAATTGATGGTGAGGTCGTTGAACCCGCCCCCGTTGATGACCATGGCGGAGGGGAAGTATTCCCACCTGCTGTGTGTTGTCAGGGGCTCCTGCAGGAGCTCGGGAACGTCGAAATCCTCGGGCCTGGTTACCGAGAAGGCGGTCTGGATTGGTACCGACTCGTCTGATGGCCGGGCATCCTCTTCGGGCTCCTTGGCCTCATGGGCGTCACGACGGGGAGCGTCGTTTCGCCTGTACTGTGCGAGCCTCCCTCCCTTGATGAGGGTTTCAATGGCGTCCTTGAGGTGGACGCAGTCCTCTGTCAAATGGCCATGACTCCTATGGTATTGACAGTATTTATTTTTGTCTGCCCCTGGCTTGGCGGGAGCAGGTCGGGGACGCTTGACGCCACCGTCTTTGAAATCTGTGCTAGCACACTCCGCCAAAATACGCTCGCGGGAAGCCGTGAGCGGAGTGTACTCGGTGAAACGGCCCGAGGGGCCCCTTTGTTCCCGGACCTCCCGGGGTCGATCTTCCTTCCTTTTCTCCCCGGTACGTCGGGGAGGAGGGTCTTGTCGCGAGCTGCTGCTATGATTGGGAGCGCGAGCCCTGGAGTCTCGTGCCCTGTTGGCAGCTTCTCTCTCCTCGTAGTCCATGTAAGCTCGGGCTTTGTCGAGGAGAGCGTTAAAAGTTGCAGGTGGCTCAATACCCACAGCTTTTCTGAATTCTGTGTCGGGGAGGAGACCCCTCTCCAGCAAATATCTTTTCATATGGTCCGCGCAGGGGACCTGTATTGCTTCCCGGTTGAAGCGGTTGATGAATTCCCTCAAGGTTTCATCCTGTCTTTGGATGATGGCCTCGAGGGCCGCCTCGGTCTTCGGGTGGCGCCGAGAAGCTGTGAAGGAACTGATGAACTGGTTCTTCAGGTTCCGCCACGATGTAATTGAGCCCGGGGCGAGCCCTTTATACCAGTCCATGGCCGCCTTCCTGAGAGTTGTGGGGAAAAGGCGGCATTTGATGGGCCCCCCGACATTATGGTAGTGGAGCATGGCTTCGAACCCGTCAATATGGTCGACCGGGTCCGCTACTCCATCATACTCCTTCAGATGCAGGGGTTTCTCCATGCCCGGGGGGATAGGTGCATCCATGATGGCCTGCGACAGGGGACCGCGGGGGTCGTCCTCGTCGCTCCTCTCCGGAGAAAGAGAAGGGGTCCTGTAGTTATGTCTGGCACGATGATCGTGCTGAGATTCCCTCGAGCGTGATGCTCGGTGGTTGAAGGTCACACGCCCGTCTCCAGGGTGCCTCTTGTCGTGCCTAGATGGGTCGCGACTGGGTTCCCCGGCTGGAATAGCGGGCTGTCTCTCATAGTTGGGCCGCCTCTGTTTTGGTCGGGGAGAGGGGCTCCTGGAGTTTTCCCTGTAGTGTCTCCGCGGGGGAGAAGGGTGTCGAACTTCTTCGACCCAAGGAGGCGGAGAAGGCGGCCTCCGATGCCTCCTCGGGGGTCGTCGATCATTTTCAAGTGCCCTTAGTCTTTCTCCTTGGGCGAATATGAGATAATTTGTCTGGTTGATGGCCGCGAACAGTGCCTGAGTCGTGGCATCTGCCCCGGCAGGAACTGGGACTTCATAGAACCGGGCAGCTCTGTGATGGGCGAGAGCTACCGGGTCTTCCTCGAGTGCTGGAGGGGTCGTCGAGGATGATGCAGTATTCCCGTCCCTGTAGGTGGAAGGTCCAGGGGCGGTGGTCACAGGGATGGCAATGTGGCCGGGATCACCGGGGTTGTCGAGGTGCCCATTCTTGTCCGCGGGACCGTTATTAGTGTCGGCGACACGGACGAGCTGCTCGTCGCGAGCTGGATCAGCCATGACAGGTAGTTAGATTGAGCTTTGGTCCTTAGAATTGTTCGTTAGACGGGGAAGCTGTTTCCCACAGACGGCGCCACTGATCTGACCTGATCAGAAATGGACCGTCACGGCTGGCTCCGAGCAGAAAGCTTTTTTGAACGAGGTGGGGGGGGGGGGTACCTGCAAGACACTCCGATGCTGAAGTAAGTAGGAGTACGAGCAGATAATAGTAAGTTGAGGTTAGAATGACGAATACCTGACCCTCTGGAAACAGAGGGTATTTATAGCCCCCAGCGCTGGGCCAAGGTTCCTTCATTGGGCCGGGCGGATTTGGCCTAATGGAGGAACTGCCAGGTTCTACGTGGGTAGTGGGGACCCGCACGTGGTCCCCTTCCTGGATGTTCTGCGTGAAGTGCGGGCGGACGAAGACGCGGTCTTTCCGGGGTATCGTTGGGGGAACGGTGGACTGAGTCTGCCCTAGTTGGGATGCTCGAGACAACGTCGAGCTGGACAGCAGGGTGTCGAGCTGGACGTCAGGACGTGGAGCTGGACGGCAGGATGTCGAACTGGACGTCAGGACGTGGAGCTGGACGGCAGGATGTCGAGCTGGACGTCAGGAGGTGGAGCTGGACATCATCACGTGGAGTTGGACAGCGGGATGTCGAGCTGGACATCAGGATGTCGGGCACGGATGTGGCCCCTTTGCTCGGCGTGGTCCTCAGTAAGTCCCTTTGGACTGGGCCTTAGCAATGCTTTTGGGCCTGTCGGGCCCAGTCCAGAACATATATATATATATATAATATTAATTATCTTTTCTAATTTTATTGAATTGTAATTTTATCATTGAGCTCTAAATTATTTTTTTAATCTTTTATCATATATAAAATTTATATTTTTCTATCTTAATTTCGTAACTCTATTTATTTTCTATTTCAATAATTAATTTGATGTCAAGTATAACTCATCTATTTTTTAGTTATATATTATATAAAATTTATTTTAAATTGTTGAAAATACTATAAAACATCAAAACAACTAAATTATATTGTAAGCAAGAGATGTAATTCATATAAAAATTATTTATATTAATATTTTTAAATTATATTAATTATAATTGATGTACGTCTAGTATGTATAGAAAAGTCAATAAGTAAAAATACCAAATCCACATACTTCTGTTTTATTTCATGTTACACAAAGCAACTAAAACAAACACCAAATAAAAAATAAACTAGGCAAAATATGAGTAAACACATTATGCTACAGAATTTGAAAAACATATCACAATCACTTCATTCATCATATCATGTATTATTAATCTGTCACTGATGAGGACTTCCTTGTTGATACTTGAGTAAACTGACTTCCTGATCCTGAATCACTTGACTTTGTAGGACCTGAATATTTGTCACTTAAGGATATAGATAATGCTCTTTTGGGTTGCATTAAAAATGGAGGTTCTGAAGGTTCTGGAAGTGGGAGATATATGCTACTAAGCATTAGTAAAACAGAACTCATAGTTGGTCTCACATCTATATCTTCTTGAACACAGAGTAATCCAACATGGATGCATCTCTTTTTTTCATCCTTATTTAAATCTTGCTCTAACATTGGATCTACAATATCCAAACTTGTCCCTGTCTTCCAGTTTTCCCATGCCTGCCAGAATTTTTTCAGTTGAAAAAAATTTATATTTACAATCAAAATTTTAGACTAGTTAAAAGTTGTGAAACTTACATTATCTAATAGATCTTTTATATTCTCCCCGTCACGAGACTTAGTGTTTCTCCGACCGCAGACAATTTCCAAAACAATTACACCAAAACTGAATATATCTGATTTGATTGAAAATTCTCCATGTTTGATATATTCTGGAGCCATATATCCACTATATGTCAAAACAATGATGTTCGATTACTAGATAAAAACAAAATACTTATTTGAAAATTGAAAAATATATATCATCAACCATTTTCTTAATACTTACTAAGTTCCAATAACCGTACTTGTCATGCCATGGGTTTGATTGGGGGCAAACAACCTTGCAATGCCAAAATCTGTAATTTTTGGATTCATTTCATTATCAAGTAGAATATTACTTGTTTTGAGATCACGGTGAACAATTTGTAGTCGAGAATCCTCGTGAAGATAGAGAAGACCGCGCGCAATATCTTTAATGATTTTAAAGCGTCTTTCCCAATTTAAATCCGCACGTTTGATTGGATCTACATAATCATACAAATCCTAATTATAGATATAATACTACTGAGATAAGGTCGGAGAAAATATAATAATTTACCAAATATGATATAGTCGAGACTTTTATTGGGGACAAACTCGTATATTAGCAGTCTTTCTCCTCTATGTAAACAAAAACCTAGTAGTTTAACTAAATTTCGATGTTGAAGCTTCCCCGTAAGTAATACTTCATTCTTGAATTCTGTTTCTCCTTGCTTAGAATTGTTAGCTAACCTTTTAATAGCAACATCAAGTCCATCTAGTGTACCCTAAAATTTTAGTGTATATAGATTAAGAAAAATATCTTGATATATGCATGTGTTTCAATAAAAAAATGGATAACTTTTTACCCTATAAACAGTTCCAAATCCACCTTGACCAAGCGCAGTTGCATCACAAAAGTTGTTTGTAGCTAATTTGATGGCTTCAAAGTCAAATTGCAACAAATCACCAACTTTAAGATCATTGCCAGCTTTAATTTCATCTTCATCTTCATTTGTCTCTTGGACTGCATGTGTTTTCACAAATATTTGAATATTAGTCTTTTTTTTCGTATTGAAGTTCTAACACAATTAACAACTTTTGGTTATAATAGTATTAAGTAAATCATTCAATATCATATTAGTTATATACTCATTTATTTTAAAATAAAATTTAAATTTTAAAAAAGATTTATCTATATGATTTTCTTAACTAAGTCTTAAAGTAGGCAAGGATTAATGATATGAGAAAAGTATTCATCAACCCATAGTATAACTGTCAATCACAATCATATATTCCATTAAAATAAATTTTTATTTTTAAATAAATTAAATGACATGATAAATTGTTAGATTTTTATTGGATGATAGTATAAAACTATTTTATATATTAGTGCATATCAATATATTTAGATAGCTCAGCCTTTTTCAATCCAAGATTATTATTCATTTTATTAGCATTTTATCATCTCCGACAAAACAACCCTACATTCTATATCCCACATTATTATTCTATTTTTCTTTCTTTATTGTTTTCTTTCCTTTAATCATCATCTTTCTTTTTCTCACTTTTTCTCTAGAAGATAATGTTTTTTTAGGAGAGAGATCATGTGGCAAAGAATCCAATATCACTTTACAATGAGAACAAACAACTAAAAAAACATTTTAAATCTTAGGGTTTTATTTTAGGGTTTTATTTTGTTTCACTTTTTTCTCTCTAGTCAAAGACCTAGGTTAAAGCATAATGGAGAGAAAGAAACACAAAAACAGGAAGGATCCGAATAGTCTTTGTGTGTGCTCAAACAATTTTAATTTGTGTTTGTGTCTTAGCTAAGTAAAACTTGCTCGTAAATTGTTGTTTACGTACCTTGAATTTCAGCAGTATATTGGGGTTTTGGCTTTCTCCTTTCACAATAAATACATCCACCAACAACTAGTATGGCAGCTACAACCAATGCTAAAACGATAGCGATGGCCGTTCGTAATACCCTCTTCTTTCCTAATCAAGAAATAAGAAATATATTTTCTCATGTCTGATAGATTATTCAGCATAAAGATAAAACTCACGTAAAATGTGTACCTTAGTATTAGAAGGGTTGGTGGTAGAGTTGTCTGATGAAGGTTCAGGAGAAATTGCTTGGGAAGAAGGTTGTGGTGCTGGTGACTCTGCACTATTAACTATAGACTGATAAAACTGAACTATATCATATCTAACCGAACAACTTGGTCCAAGATACAAACAAACTTTCATTTTTGGACACCACCTTGAAAGATCTGGGAAAGCTAAATCTAAACATTTAGTACAATTTTGTTTTGTCAAATCTGGTGTACACTGAACCAATCCATATATAGTATCATTATTACTACTATTTGATTCAATTACTTTCACACTCTTTTCACCAAACTTCTTCCTCCAATCACCTTCGGCTGCCATGCTTTTAAGTTCATCCAACAAGCCATTAAGTGTTGTATTAAATGCATCATCCATCACTGTTTTGCTTTTGATATTGAAATACTTACCAGTATCAGTATCCATGACACCGAAAATTGATGTGTTCGAATAGCGTAAGGTGCATATGTCGTAGTAACCAATTGCCTCTTTTTGTATTCCACACCGATCTGTGAGAAGTACTGCAGAGGTTTTCAAGCAGTCGCGGCAGTCGTTTGGATTAATGTCTCCTCTGCAAAATCCGACTGCGTTTACTATGTCAGGTTCATCTCCATATGAGAAATTGTAGAACCCATAGTCTATTTCTCTGTCGGAATATATAATTTTTAGAACGGCGGCGAGGTTGTCTTGGTAGGTACTACCGTCGGTAAAGTTTCCGAGATCATTGTTACATTCGTGGTAGCGGAAAACTAGTTGGTCCTTGGCTTGAGAGTTTAGTGTGAAAAAGAGATGAAGAAGTAAAAACAGAAGGCAACGCGAAGAAAACATAGTACTCTTTCTTTCATCTATGGAATTGGTTGTTGTGAAAGAATGATGGAGGAAGTAATTAAATATAGCTCTTTCATGTATACACAGTTAGTTGAAATTATTATCTCATTAAAAACATGGTTTTGATTTATAGTTATTCAATAATTGTTTTAAATCTTTTAAGTTAGAGAAGCTGCCGTAAATCTTCACACAAGTTGTCCATCTTTTAAAAAAAAATTTGCCGCTATTTTATATAATTTAAGTTAGAAAATCAGCTATAAGATTTATTAGAATTATGTATCAATAATTATAAGTTATAATTATTTGAATATTAACTAATTGAATAAACAAAAATAAATTTTACATATGATAATTTGATAGATATATTATCTCATTAATTGAAGTAATGCCAACTTGCCAACTACGAGAAAGTTCAACAAAGGACCAAAAGACACTACTTTTAAAATGTACCAACATCTTTTCTATCGATTTAAATAGTAAATATAAATAGTGGAATGTTCATTAGTCATGTCTTAGTTACATATCCCACCCAAAATTTCAAAATTACTTTTAGATTATGGATCATAAAATCCTGGCACACCAAACTCTCTAAAACATGCTAAAATAAAAAGTAAAAGATAAGTTTAAATTTTGGATTTCATACGCGCTCATCACATCATACTCAAAGTCAATCTTTTGCGATGTTTAAGAGTATGTCCGGATATTATTATCCATATTCTTCAATAATATCACAAATTCATTCGCAATCCAACATATAATAATATTCAGGAGATTTGTTAGAATTTTGAAATTCTAATTATATCATGCTATCACAAAACTAGAAGTAATTTTAGACAAAGAATAAAGAAAACATAGCTTAACGTAAGTATTTGTTATCACATACACAAGATATATAATATTATAGATTTTTGTTAACTTAAATCTAACATGACATTTTATCATCAAGAAATGGTTGGTGATATTTCAACATTTTTAGAATATTGTTGGTCATTCTTGCAATTGTCACGTCCACCTCAATTGAACTCTTTGTTGTGTAATGGTAAAATATATTTCACATAACTCTTAAATTTGCATTCATCTTTAACTCAAAATTGTTGAACTGTATCTCCTCTTTGTTATCAATCGAGGATAAATGGTACTCTTTCTTAACCAAATTTCAATTGTTTCAATAGTGCAAGATATTCTACAATTTAGTTTTCAGATCGATGAGATGAGTGTCCTCTATGACCTTAAATTTAAAAAGAAACATCACATCATTGAAGTAAACAAATGTGATATACCAATATTTTAACAAACACGCCGTTTTTACACACACATAGAACCTATTTTTTAACATAGAACTTTTTAAATTCAATCTTTATACAAATGATTTTAGATATACATTAAAACACATCAAAATGTATTCGGACTATATCATTGAAAATAATAATTTACCATTACATGCAAAAATGTGTCACCACCAAAATGCATTATAAGATAAAATTAAAATGCATCAAAAAATATGTCACCAACTAAATCAATATCTCTGGGTGGTTACGCCTTTGACTTTCCTGTTAGACGATATGCTATGATCTGGAGGGAGTGAATAGATCGCAAACGAAATTTTCTTTTTTTTAAAAACTATTTTAAAAATATTTAACTATGGCTAACGAAAACAATCTCGAATCGATAATCGTCTATCCTGAACCGTTATCGAAAAGATCGGATATGCTATAAACTGTATATAACGTGTATATATATATATATATATATATATATATATATATATATATATATATATATATATATATATATATAGAGAGAGAGAGAGAGAGAGAGAGAGAGAGAGAGAGAGAGAGAGCGCACTACGCCAAAAATAAGATTAGACAGCACACCTAAGGCAGCGCTTCTTATCAAAAGTGCTGCTAAAAGTGCATTTTAAAAACACGGAAATTTTGTCCTATGTCTTAGACAACGCTTTCTAAAAAAGTGCTGCCTAAGGGGGTGAATATTGTTTGATAAAGCGCTGCTAAAGGGGGTAGGTCCTGAAGCGTTGCCTAAAGGGTGGGCTTACAAAGTGCTTTTCAGAAGCACTGCCTAAAGGGTGGGCTTACAAAGAGCTTTTCAGAAGCACTGCCTAAAGGGTGGGCTTAAGCAGCACTTTGTGAAAGTGCTGCCTAAAGGGGGTTAATGTGAATTTATAAAGCGCTACTAAAGGGGGTAGGTACTGTAGCGCTTTGGAGAAGCGCTGCCTAAAGGGTGGGCTTACAAAGCGTTTTGCTAAAGCGCTATCAAAAAGGGGGGATTAAACAGCGCTTTCTACTACAAGTGCTGCCTAAAGTCATGTTATAAAAAAAATAAAAAACGCGCCCATTATAAAACACAGTAACACATTATTATTTGCTCATTTTCAGAATACAGTAGTTAAGAACAAAACCCACTTTGATGCTATTTTTCGTTTGATTCTTGACAAAATCGTTGCATCCTTTCTTCAAGATTCTCATCCTTCTTCCATTCAAGACCGTTGCATCCTTTCTTCCATTCACAACCAAGATTCTCTTCTCCTCTAGGTATGATTTTTGATATATTTGATAATGTTGATATATAATGTTGCATTTGGTTTAGTTGATAGTGTTGATAGTGTTGTTTTAGTGTTGATTTAGTGTTGATAATGTTGCATTATGGTGTGCTTTGTGTGGCATGTAGTTTTTGCATGTAAGGTGTTTGGGAAAATGTTACAATGAGATTGCATGTAAGGTATTTGTGTAAATGTCACAACAAATATTGCATGTATTGAATGAGAGAAAAAAACATTATAATTGAAATGTGTATACATTACCATTGCGATTATTATTGTGAAAAGTTGGTTTTTAGACAAGAGTCACGGACGAGGCACAAGGATGAAATGTTTTATTAAAATTGGTGATTAGAAATTGATAAAGAAATAGTTTATATAGTGATAAAAATTCTAGAGAAAAGAGACATGTTACATAAAGTATTTATGGGTCAATAGAATTATGGAAACTTGAATTCTCTAATGTAAGAGTGATACTAACACATAAATTAAGATATTTAAACAAATTATGATTGTTGGATTAAAATTTGAAGATCTAGATTTGAAGTTAGAATATAATTTGAAGGGAAAAAAATGAAAGTTACACTTTATGAGCCATTTGATTAATAGAGTCACGTGAATTATTTGATTGATCTATACTTTCAATGTAGAATATTAAAATAGATCTTTATTAAACAAAATTTTTTTATTAATATTTTACCTTCATATTTTAAAATCAAATATTTATATATTTTTTTAAAAATTATAACAGTAAAATATATGTTAAAAAGAATATTAGTGATTATTTAATGGTGTATACATATATGTTTAATGTTGTACAAATATTCTAATGTAATTCTTATTCTATAGATTTGTTTTATTATAATGAAATTAATTGATCATTTATATAGGTTACTTGTGAAGAGTGGAGTTTCTGAGCGTTTCCAAGAATATTACACTGTGTGGTTTCAGAAGTTATTGACTTTTCTACAGGTATTTAGTTGTTATTTTAATTTTCTATAGTTGCTTGAATAATTATAGTATTTTTATTTTCGATGAATATGCCTAATTGATATTAAGCTTTTTAGTCTTTGTCCTTTTTTTTTAAGTATTGTTTTTGTTTAGCTTACTTAATAGTAAGACCATGGATAAAAAATGGATGTCTGACAATCGATTGCCCAAAGAGTACGATAATGGGGTATTGGAATTCGTTAAGTTTGCTGTTGAACACGCCAAAGATGCCAATCGAATGAAATGTCCTTGTTTAAGTTGTTGTTTTGTGGGTCGGGTTGATGCAGTTGGGTTGCAATCGTATTTATTGAGGCGTGGAATTGATCGAAGTTACACATGTTGGATATTCCATGGTGAGAAAATTTATGAGAATGTTGAACCGAGGAATAGTACGACATATGCTTCAGACGACAATGACACAGATACATATGATTGTGATCAAGTCAAAGAGATTGCAGAAGTACTTGAAGAAGATCTTCAGGATTGTCCCAAAATGTTTGAGAGGTTGGTAAGCGATGCAGAGAAATCATTGTATAAAGGTTGCACTAAATTCACAAGACTGTCTTTGGTATTAAAGTTGTACAACTTAAAGGCGGACAATGGATGGCCGGATAAAATTTTCATAGAGTTATTAGCCATTATGAGAGATATGCTTCTAGAGGATAATGTTCTTCCTAATCGAACCTATGAGGCCAAAAAAATATTGTGCTCTATTGGCATGAGCTATCATAAGATACATGCTTTTCCAAATGATTGCATTTTGTTTCGAAACGAATATGCATCATTAAATGAGTGCCCTAAATGCGGTTTATCTCGATATAAGAAAAAAATATCTCCAGCAAAAGTCTTATGGTATTTTCCTATAATTCTGAGATTTAAACGCATGTTTAGTAGTGAAACCGATGCAAGACACTTGACTTGGCATGCAGATGAAAGAATTATTGATGGAAAGTTTTGACATCCGGCAGATTCACCATAATGGTCGAAAATTGATAATGATTATCCTGATTTTGGAGGAGATGCAAGAAACCTTTGCTTGGCATTATCTACTGATGGAATGAACCCGCATGGTATTCAAAGTATCTCACATACCACATGTCCTGTGATTATTATGATTTATAACCTACCTCCATGGCTATGTATGAAGCGCAAGTACATGATGTTATCTATGTTAATTTCTGGACCTAAACAACCAGGAAATGACATAGACGTTTACTTGAAACCGTTAATTGAAGATTTAAAGATTTTGTGGGAGAACGGGGTGGAGGTTTATGATGGATATAGGAAAGAAAGTTTCAATTTGAGGGTGATGTTGTTTGGCACAATTAATGATTTTCTGGCATACGGAAATCTATCAGGGTATAGCATTAAAGGTTAAAAAGTGTGTCCTATTTGTGAAGAACACACAAATTGGAAGCGATTGGGATTTTGTCAAAAGAATGTATTTCTCGGTCAT